CTGATTCTCTGTGTTTTAATAATCCCTTTCCCTACGCTAACCAGGCTTCAGACTGGAGGATACATATGTCAGGGAGCAGAAGCACACAGCCTCTGCCATCATCTGCATTAGAAGTGGCAGGCTGGGAATTCAGAGGAAGCTCCACACTCTGCTTGTGAAGAGCACAGTGTCTGCCCAACAAGCCCTGCTCTGGTATTGACAAAAGTAGAAACCTCACCTGTGAGAAGCCGCCTTCTTTGGTGCAAACTCGTATTCCTCTGGATACCAGCGTCTGCAAGTGGAAAAAAGTGCCACTTAAAAAAGGAAACTGGGGTTCAAAAACATGTCCGGTGGCTGTGCAGGTTTGTTACAATCGGTGAAAGAATTTCGGCTTCCCTGGCGTCCAGAGAAGCCACAACCCTGGGAGTCAACGTGCTGCAAACTCCAGAGCACGCCACTCACAGAGTACTCCACGGCTCATTCTGCGCATCCGCCCGAACAGAACAGATGAAAGAACGAGGTGGCGGTGGCAGGCAGCCCTCTCCCAGCAGCGTTTAACCTTGTTTTAGAAGAGCGCGCGTTAGTGCCACTTAACAGGCTTCCCTAGATTACCTTTCATAAGGACTGCTTAATTTGGGGAACGTTTACCTGCAAAGTTCTTTGACAGTGCTCACATCAATGATCCTGTAATGAAGATGCCTCATGAACTGAGGCATGTATTTGTCAAGAAATTTCTTATCTGCATGAACAGAGTTACCTACAAAGACACAAAACAAGGTGTTTCTTCAAAGACGTTACAAAGCTACTGCAAACGACATCTAAACGAGAAGCAGGCTAAGTGAGCTGGGGAAAGATCATAGGGTATGAAAAGCTATTCGCAAGCAGCTCGTTTATCCCATTTTCTAGTAAATATGATTGCAAAGGTTTGTCAGATTTTCATTGCAGGATCACACGCTGTTTAAAAACGTAATCCCTCTGTTAATTCTCCAGTGACTACTCCTACAATTTCTGTCACACAGATACGTATCAAAGTACTATGCAAGCATCGGGTTTTCCGCAAAGTGACAACGGGCATTGCTATTCATTTCACTTAGCATCAGTCCCAAGACCGTACGTGAACATCCTGAATGTAGTTCCAGGTAGCAGGACGTTCGGCAGATTCATATTTGGCGTTTGGGTTGATGCACAGGGAGGAAAAGACGCCGCTGGGTTCACTGCTCAGATTTTATGGTCACAGATTGCTGTCAGCAGTTAAGTGGCCCGCCCCAATTATAACCGTACACGGAAACATTATTGCAAAGAAGAATTGAAGTTTCCCACAGCAATGATGTGCAGTATTTGCTTTAGGGAAGCTGCAGAACGGATGATGCCATTACTGAACCTCTCCTTACTAAAAAGGTTTTGATTTGCATGCTAGATCTCGGCTTAGAAAAACTAAAGCATCCCTGCCACATATATCAGCGGGCCTTTCAGCATCTGGCCAGGAGTCGCAGGAGGGATGGTATTGTTACTGTTAAGAAAGAACATACTTTACCTGCGAGAGGACAGAGACCGGGGGGTGTCTGTTGTCGTACAAAGGAAAGAAACTCATACTCTGCTTGCTGCAATGAAATTTTACTCTCCTTCACAGCCTTAGTAAGGCCAGACTGCAAAAAAGAGCCATCCATCATAAATCAGAAATACACTGCCAGGAAAGATACTTCCAGAAATGCTCAACAGCAAAAGGTCAACCCTTCAAGCATTGGTTGTTCCCCAGCGTGCCCAGAAGTACCAACTGAAATCTGTGTTTCAATATTCTGGGACGTCCCCTTGCCTTTTTTTCTCTCCGGGCATCGCCACAAGCAGATCCGACTGATGTGCAGGGTGCCGCTCAGCAAGTAAAAATTAGCACAAGTAAAGGCGACCGTAGCGTAGTCCTAACAACCCTGATGTTCCCATGGGTTTTAGTGGTTTGGATTTTTTTTTTTCTTTCCTGGTTGCTGTACTTTCCAGGGGTGGTTCTCAACTACCGAGATGTTATGCAAGTCTTGTTTATACACCTGTACATACGTGACCCAGGAAAGTATTAGATTTCTCTTTGTTGAAGGACAGGCATTCACCTCCCCAGTGCAAAGCAGTAGGTATAAATAAAGAGAAATAATCAGGAGTCGTAGCTTAAGTGTTTATCAAGATTCCTATAAATCAGAAAAGTTCGTTCTTTCTTTTTTTTCAATAGTTAAATGTCAAATCTGCTCCAAGTGTTCTCAGTGATTTATTTCCATCTGGCTACGCTATATATTTCCACGACTGTGCCGCAAAAATCTACTTGACAGATCCAAGTGGTGGTTAAAAAATTCATTATGTGGCTGCATTTTCATCTATATTCTAATTGCTTCTCTTTTCTTAGTCAATTAAAAATAAGTAGCTCCTCAGGAGCAGCGATAACGTATGCTACCATCTTCAATTCACTCGTGAACTGAAGCCGAGTTTGAGTCCTCGACTGGAGAAGGGGAAAAGCACCCATCACGGTAAATTAATATTCATTTTCCAAACTCTTGCTAATCCTTCCCGGGGAGAGTGAGATGCCGAAGGGGGAGGAGGGGAGGGGTTATGGGTGTCTTAAAACTTCAGCCTTTAATTGAAAACTAACTTGAATTTCAATTCATAATCAAGGATTGGAAAATCCATTCGTTTTCTTGCTACCAGCAAGGAGAAAGCTTTCTTTGGTGGCTAAAAGAACTAAAAGTAATCTCTCGCTCCAAAAGTTAAGCTTTCGGCAAAAAAATACACTGTGCTTATGGCGCCGAGGGGACGGGCAAAAATAACCATCCAGCGTTTACAGTAAATGGGCCTGTCGCATTCTACAAGTACCTAACTTTGCAGCGATAAATCTGCATCTTGTCAGCTCTGGACTGTTCTACACTGACCTTGCGCCTGTACTTACTTGGGACTTCAAGCCACCTCTTCCCCTTTCCCATCGGAATTATGCTTTGAACTATTTTACGCAACACGGAACAGCGTTCACCGGGAGGAGCTGTCAGAGGAGTCCATCCAACCCGGCCTACAGCTGGGACTCCAGCAGAGGCACGCCACAGCCGACAGCTCAGCAAGCAGACTGGGGAGCTGAACCCGACTTCTTAACCTCATGCCGAGAGGCAGGCGCTGAGCCTTCTGTCTTTGAAGACGGGAGCCAGTGCCACATATCCGAGAGAGGGATCCCATTCCCAAGCCCACTGACGCTTGCCTTGCCCTGCCTGCAGCTCTCCCGTGTGCCATTGCTCCAGCCATCTCAGGGGAGCACTCACTAGCTGCTGGCCTTTGCTGATGCTTCTGGCTCTTAAGTCAGAAAGTCGCTTCCAGCACTATTCAAACTTATTAAAAACCAGGCTACAAAGCACAGGCTGCTTCGGGGCCATCTTGCAGCTGAGATACAGGAGGACGACTAAAGATACAGGAAAGCAATCCGCAGCCGTGCCACAGATGACTTGCGAGACCTTGGGCAAAACGTTATGCGTCAGCTCCTCGCTATGAAATAAGGATGATACTTACTGTCTCTCATTCTTTATCTCCTCTGTTTAACTGCAAACTGTTCAGCACAGGAGCTGTCTCTTTTTAGGTGACTGTACCGCAACTAATAATTTTGAATTATACGTCACTCTCACCAAAGCAAAGACAAGAGAAATTGCAGCGTGACCGCTCTAGAAGGGTTACCTTCCCATGATGCTCCTTGCACCACTCGGACATGCTGTCCAGCAGCTCGTCGGGCTGATTAATGATAAGGTTAGGGCCCTGTCAGGAAGAGAGAAAGGTAACGAAACACAGCTTAGTATCAAGCACTCGCAGTCTCCAGAGGCAATGCTGCCACGCACAGCGGCCCCCCACCATTTAGGGAGTCGGGGAAGCAGCTGCTTGGAGGGTAGGTACACAGCGGCAGCTCGGGGGGGGCAGAGCAGCATCCGCCCCGTCCCCCCACTCGCGTCTGGGCCCGAGGCGCCCGCTTCGGAGCAGCAGATGCCCAGGCGGCCGGAGCAAGGGGCCACCCCCCCCCGCCCAGCAGCGGGGCCCAAGGGCCGAGGGCCGCTGCCCGGCTGTTATTTTCTCCAGCTTCCCCCGGGAAGCAAGGGCCGAGCGCGCCCCGGGTGCCGGCCGGGCAAGGCCGGGGAGCCCGCAGGGCCCCGGGGGCGAGGCCCGGCCCGGCCCGGCGGCTGCTCCTCCTCACCTCGGCCAGGACGTTGAGGTCGGAGTCGGTGATGAGGCAGGCCATCTCCAGGATCTGGTCCTTCTCCACGTCCAGGCCCGTCATCTGCCGCGGAGAGGGGAGGGAGGG